CACTGTAAATGTCCAAATCCTGTAATTTACACAACTCACTACTGTCGAAGCAGTTTTATCAAGTTTCAACTGATTTTTTCCCCGTTTATTCAGCTTAACAATTGAGCCTCATTTTCACTCCTGTCAGAAATTAAATATGGTGCTAGCCTAAGAGCTATAGAGCTTCTTTATAGCTGAAATTGAAGTTGTTGCATAATTGATGAACTGTGCAACACTGACAGTTTACTAAACTGAATCAACACTGAATCTGGGTTGAGATGAATAATGGCACTATTTCTTCTGTAGAGCTGCTTTACAGCTAACATTTCAGTTATTTCATAATTCATGAATTTAGTTGCTGTGAAACAATGTTATTGTACCTGCTTAAAAAAAAAAAAAATGTGACTTAACTTGAAAGGGAACTGTGGCTGTTCAAAACAAAAATATTAAAAACTCACTTTTTTTCCAAAGAAGAAACGGTGTAATATGGGTTCAGAAAAAACAGAGTAAATAAATGATTACATTTCTCATTTTAAATGGCCTATGTCTTGCATTTCAACAAGTCCTAACAGTTTTGGCCTGCTCAAGGTGTGACGGGCTAAAACTGGAATCTAGCTCTAGTGATTAGATCCAGGCGTTTCTGCGATTTCCAAACGTTACTGCCAACACTTATGGTAGCATTAGTGTATTTAACTTGCCTTTATCGATGCTCCACTGCTCTCTTCGAGCTCCCGAATTTTCGCACCACCTCGACCTAGGCAGACGAACAGAAACAGAAGTGACTTCCGCGAATCGGTTCTTTTGAACCGTTTTAAAACACGATTCAGTCATTCGTTAGTTTACGCAAAGACCTAGACATGCCATAAGCCGTCCCTATGCCATTTTGTATTCGTATGATTGGATCCTGTATTGTTATATTATAATTATGTTCAGTGGAGCTATTTAAAAATAAATAAATAAGCCATTGGTCCGCTACAAATCCTCTTATAGCCTTCTAGTGCTTCACTCATCGGTTGTCGACTCATGAGTCTGATTTGGCTTATGACTCGAACCGACTGAGCCGCATATTTGAACGAATCGTTTTGGGGAAGATTTTCAACCGAGTCGTTAGAAAAACACCAGACATCACTACAGAGAGGGGCAGAGGGCATAGTTTGTCAGCCCAAAAAACTGCTGCATGCATAAATGTTCCACAGACACCTGTGTCTCACCTATTATCCTCCCGACCAAAGAGTTTTCCACATTGAGAGTTGTCGGTGATGAGCCTGATCTGTCTCCACCACCGCGACACCCTGTAGGTCCAGTCACGGAACGACTGTAACTGTTATTTTTACCAGTTGCTCCGTCACAAACATAGGATTCAGAGTCTCGGTCCCTCCAGTTTCTCCACTGCTCGCCGTCTCCACCAAACGTTGCGCCGACACTCGTGGGGTCACGGCTCCGCGCGCCTCTAGGAGACGGAGGCCTCCATGACTTTACCGGTAACGTTACAGTTTGAACGGGTAACGTTGACGGCTTTGAAATCGCCTCACCTTCCGCACCGTACTCATCTTCCCAGTCCGACATTTAAAACAAACATATAAGAACACAACTTTGAATCTTTTTTGAATCGACGCTTCCCTCCAGCACGACCACAAATCACTGATCAGAAACTTCAATCAATATCCGCTCACGTGATCCCTTACTGAAATGCAACATGGCAACCGCAATTTACATTCGTTACTGCTGTGAAAACCGTTTCTTTCTGCGCTTTTGATAATGACTGTTTGTTTGTTTGCTTATTTATTGATTAGTAGTATTATTGTGGATGACGCTGTTTATAAATGTGTACACGAGAGGAACAATAAAACAATTAAATGATGCCGTTTTTAGATCGATTATTTACAGAAAAATATAATTAAAGCCACCCATAGAAATTGATGCAGTATGCCTACATCTGCTGAAAATAAATAACTTTTTAAAAAGGGCTTTTGGAATAGGATACTCCCTATATTAGTGCATTTCCTATAGCTTAACTAATGCATGCTGGTTGTTTGCTTTCACTTCACATATACAGTAGAACACATAATTCATATAGCCTATGCATTACCTTCTCGAAGGGGGTGGGAAAAGAGAAAAGGGATCCAACTGGGCCCACAAGCTAAGACAAGGCACACCAAAACATTAACATCAAGCACACTAGGCCAAGTTTCAAGTATTTTGTTTATTTAAGTATTATGATGATCATAAATTTTCATTTAGCATTTTTCAATCCCAGAGCATCAACTCTGTTATGTGCACAATGATGAAATAAATTATTCTGAATGACAGAGAACACTAACATTATCAAGCATGTATATTAAGGCCAGTTTCTCTGTAATAAATTATTTGATCTAGTGGTAAAACAAAGAAATGCTGCTTAAACTGACAGACGCTTTAAGTTCACAGCCAAACAGAGAATGTGCAATTGTCAAAATATAACCATTTCAATAAGAGTTCAAGGTACTGTGAATACAGAATTTGTATAAATGTTTAATAAAATGCAAAAAGGCACCGTAAAACATTGAATTACAAATGAAAACTTTCAGAAAAGCAATAACAATAGTAATATTATTAATCATGATGTGTTAAGACTATATTTCTGTTCAAACCTTTTTCTGCATTTCAAGCATCATTTAGTTCCACAGCTGTTGACAGTTTCTCATTTCAGTTCTCGGGTGCCTATATTATTTACCTCAACTCTAGAGCAAAATAAGCATCTCAACTATCTCTGGACTATAAATCTTATTTAAAGCATATTCATGTTAAAACAATTCATCACATTTGCAGGTTTCCTCTACACATCTGAACAGTTTTGCTTCCAATTGTACAGAGGCAAAAACATCCTCAATGTACACCTCAGATGTTTTTAACAAAAAATAAAAACAAAACAAACAAACAAAAATGTAACAGTTAATCATAGTCTACGTACACATAATGATACACTTTACATTCTAAGTTGTACAGACAAGCATTTTAGCTAAAGTACTTATTGTACCATTCAGAAGCATGGAATAAAAAATGTAGAACAGAGGTTACAAAGCTGAGGTTTAGGTATAAGATGTCTGCTTGCTACAGAATTTAAAAGAACAAAATCAGAAAATACAACATAAATGAGATATCGCCGCAATTCCAATACAAATTTGACAAAGATAACTTCTGATTATATGGATGTAGGTTACAAAGCAATCAAAATACATGTAAAATTGAATTACAATCATTAGTTATGATATTGCAAGTGTAATTTATTGTCATGATGAAAATGATTCTTTGAACATTTTAGCAGCCAAATATCCACATGAGGATTCGGAATTAGAAAAATCAGAAATCAGAGCTTTTCAAAAAGCCTGATTGTCACAAATACCTCCTCATAAGACATTACACCTAAACACATCATACCATCTCTTTAGTAACAACATTCAGCTTTCTTCAGATGCTAAGATACTCAGGTTTTAAAGGACATAGTCAAATTAAGAAAGCATATCTCTGTGCAGGCTATAGCGTGAAGATGCGTTTGTTTCTGAGTTTCTTCTGGAGTTGCTTGCAAACCCTGCTTGATTGGCTGAGGTTTGCATAGTATCACATATTAATGTGGTTTTGGACCAAGACCATCTGTTTTTTTCTGCTATTCCTCCCACAATTCCTTAACACATGCAAATGAGTGGACTGCCAAACCTTCAGAAGGAAGTGAGAAACAAATCCTAATGCTGAGTGAGGGATTATTACAGGTGCATACACACTTCCAATTATATTTGCTGTTGCATTTTATACATGCCGATCCCATGCAAGGCTCATTCAGTACCATAACCCTTCATTATTTTAAAGGAATATTATAGGTTCAATACAAGTTATGCTCAACCGACAGCATTCGTGGCATAATATTGATTAACAAAAAAAAATGCATATACAGTATACGGGTTAGAGTGATGCACTCACAGTGAAAATGAATGGGGCCAATTTCTGAACAATTTAAAAGCAGAAATTTAATTTTTTTTAATTATAAGCTTCCTTGATAATAAGATTCCTTCATATGGTTACATTCACACATTTTTCAGTCTTTTATGGTGTTTACGGAGGTAATAAGTATTATGTCACAAACTTATCAATTGAGCTTAACGTATATTGAACCCGGAATATTTTTTCCACAACAGTTTCTCGTTAATATAAATTCTCTTTTTTGATAAATTGTCCATGCATTGATATGTACGTATGAACATAAACGTATGAACAGCATGTCGTCTTCCTGTGAAAATTAGAAAACACAGAGCGTACAGGACGCTCCATTTCCTTTGGAAAAGAAGCACATGAGGGACATGAGGTTGTGTCCAGTCTCCACAGTGAGGTTCCTGTGCTCCGGGGGTTATTCGAGGCATACGTGTGGCAAGTTATGGGACTCAAGACCATCTCTTGGTCCAGCCTGGCTGGGAGACGGCCCACTGGCTCCTGTCCGTAGCAGCTCAGAAGAGAAGGACGTATCGTTGTTCTGTTGGTGGAGGTGGTAACGGTCACCCTCCGTGGTGTCCACCTCTTTGTCATTGACGAAGAGTGCTGTATCGCCCCAGTCGGCCAGCGGCTCACGGTCGCTGGACTCGTTGTTGCTGCTGCCGCTGCTCCGAGTGGACAGGCTGGGATGGCAGTCGGCAGCAGTCGGTAGCATGAGGTTCTGAGCGGAAAGAGACTTACCAAGCCCACGCTCGACCTGTAGCGAGGCAGCTGTTGTGGAAGACATGAGCATAAGAGGATCAATGTCAAGGCTCAAGTGTCTTCTCCATGACCCATCTTCCTTGGGGTTACGTTCGGGCTTGTCCCGTAGCTGTACCGTGCTTTGAATACTATCGGCTTCCCTATCCGACTCATCCTCGGTTTGGGTACTCAACAGGCAATTGCTCAGACACTCCGCCTGGCTCTCCTGTAGCGTCTCTGGGATAAGGCTGGTAGGCCGACTTTGAGGCGTTGGTACCATAGGCGGGAGCTGAAGGGGCGAGGAGGTTGAATGTACTGTTGGGACCGGCCTTGTCAGCTCACTGAACCGCTGGTGACTTCTGGAAAGGTTGTTGGGGGTGAGAATGGGAGGAGGGGACGCTGGGTAGAAACTGTCAGGGCTGGAGGGTTGATTGTTTAGTAGAGGGGAAGGTGAGAAGGAGGAGGCAGAATGCGGGTAACCGGTACCCAAGTTGAGTTCACTAGGGGCCAGAGCAAGATGAAGACCACGATGCAGGTTACTGCTGCCCGAACGAGACACGCTGCTGCAGGTAAGCTGGGAGGAGGATGACAAATCCTTGCTATGGATGGAGCTTTGGTAGTCGGAGGTTTGATCCAGCTCGAACAGGGGCAAAGCAGACAGACCAAGCATCGAAGAGGAACCTTTTTGCAACACTTGCCGGTATATATCCAGTAATGAGTCCAGCTTTGACTCAATGGACTGTACCTGTATTATATTAGAAATAAAAACATCACATTGGATTTTTTTTTAATTTTATGCTTAAATATTGTAAATGTGTGCAAGTACACTACTGTTAAAAGGTTTGGGGTTGGTAAGATTTTAATACTTTTGACTGACCCCAAAACTTTGAACAGTAGTGTGTTTCATTAGAAACTTGCCGGTATATATCCAGTAATGAGTCCAGCTTTGACTCAATGGACTGTACCTGTATTATATTAGAAATAAAAACATCACATTGGATTTTTTTTTAATTTTATGCTTAAATATTGTAAATGTGTGCAAGTACACTACTGTTAAAAGGTTTGGGGTTGGTAAGATTTTAATGCTTTTGACTGACCCCAAAACTTTGAACAGTAGTGTGTTTCATTAGACCATCAAGTTAATATGGCTTACTTGTCTCTCTACTTTACAGACACGGCCAAGCATGCTCATGTCATGCTCCAAGGATTCTCCTTCTGGGAGGATTTTCTCCCTGCCTTTCCTGTCTACTGAAATCTGGCCCTTTCCCAGTATCTGATCCACCCTATAAGGAAGAAAAAAATGTTTCTGATTATACATGATGATTCTCACCTTTACACCGTTGTTCCTTGAGCTCGAGCAGGGAACAGCACAGCAGGATAAGACTGGACTTTGGTTAGTGAAGAAGAAATGAAGTTAGTGCATCACCATCATCTACTTTTTCTATGTTAAAAGGAGAGAAGGAAGAGATGCTGATATATTTCTGTAAATGTTATAACTACATTCAGTACAACTGAGAATTCTGTTCTTTACATTCTATGTTACTTGTTGTATGTAAGAACTGGCTGTATTTGATGATCTACCTATGCTAGTTGATTAAAATATCAAATCCAAAATGTTAAACCATGCTCCCAAGAAAGTAGAGCAAGATTTTTAACGATGTAGCAATGTACATTTTCAGGTAAATGTAGTCTATGATATTCCAGGGTCTCCATGCAGAAAATAGGCAGACTATGTACAGTATTAATATATTCTGGATGGCACATTTCAGTCTGTGATTCTCAATGTATTTTGTCAGGTGTTAGAAAAAACATCTTATGCTTCCTTGCCTCTTCAAATCTATTGTGCAAGAGCAGTTTGAGTTAAACCAACATCAATCAGCTGAATCAGTGTGTGCTACACAATTAATAAATCATCTCATTGGTTGAAAAACATCACTATTTATTAATCACCTTGGAGTCCAATGATGAAGATAATAAATAAAGGGAAAAATAGAGGTCTGTGATTCCTATATATCAGAAGTTGATCTCAATGTGGCCTTAACAAACTTCCAAATGCCTAAAATGTCTAAATGTCAAGATATGGCTTATTTACTTCAGCCCCTTAACAAAACCCTAAACCCTATGGATAGTTTTAGCTGAATACTGTACATCATCACCATTGGACCCCATTCACAATATGAAGTGATTGAGGTAAGTACAGCCCCATGACTAGCCCCCCAGCCTGCTACAGGCCTCTGACCCAGCGTGCTTCTTCTTGCTTTGGCTGTAATACATGTGTAGAGAGGGAGAGGAAAGGTTCCTGGCTTTGGTGCTGAGTGTCTGATGTGGACCCACAGCTGTGGCGAGTCTAGATGAGAAAACATACCGGGGTCAAGAACATTTTTATGGTTGGGCCGTCAAGTAAAAGGGAGGAAAGGGAAAGTTGAAGAGAAGGTACTTTTGGCACCATGGCAAGATACTATTACTACATGCGATTTACTAATACATGTTAATGATCAAAACAAAGGTCTCAGTAATCTAGGTTAATATCTTAACTGTTGGTTCAAAGTCAGTGTCTTAAAGTCAGTCACTGAGGTATCTGATATTTAAGTAAATGTAAGTTAGAGATGGTTGTTCAAATCAGAGCTAGCAAACTACTGATTTACACACCTGTTGGTTCAAAATATTAAAGAATAACATGTTAATATGCTACTTCCATGCCAGACAAAATGTTGAACAAAAATCAAGCTTTGGGACCCAAATAATAGGGAAAGCTGAGAAGAATCAATCTAAAAGTTAGTGCTATACACAGGCACATTCAATCTAACACCATGCACTGCATCCCGGTTATGCTGGTTTAGCATTGCCAACCTTGTTAAACAGGGAGAAAGTTCTACATGGAGAAAAATGGAGGGATGAATGAATAATTGAACAGAGCCAAAAGCTTGAGGCTTTGGGTCACTGACACATCACAAACATGCCCAGCCTTTACTGCAAAAATACATATTGTAAAAAAAAATTATAATTAAAAAATAATATATATACACACACACACACTACCATTGTGTGTGTGTGTGTGTGTGTGTGTGTGTGTTTGTTTGCTTTTGAAATATGTTCAAATGCTTATGCTTACCCAGGCTATATTTACATGATAAAAAAACATAAACAGTGATACTGTAAAATATTATTACAGTTTAAAATAACTATTTTCTATTTTAATATATTTGTTTGCTTTTGAAATATGTTCAAATGCTTATGCTTACCCAGGCTATATTTACATGATAAAAAAAACATAAACAGTGATACTGTAAAATATTATTACAGTTTAAAATAACTATTTTCTATTTTAATATATTTTAAAATGTAACTTATTCCTGTAATGGCAAAATTTTCAGCAGCCATTACTCCAGTCTTTAGTGTCAAATGATCCTTCAGAAATGATTAATTCAACAAACTGATGCCAAACTTTTGAACAGTAATTTCTTTTTATTCAGTATTTTTGTCTTGTTTTGCATTAAATATATCTAAACATCCTTAGATAAGACTGCATAATAACTTCAGATAATATAACTTGAATTAAGATGTATTACTTTGTATTTTTGTCTCACTGACTTCGCCAATTAGATTTGAAAAGTAAACTTATATATTCTCTGAAAACAAATTTTTATATCTTACACAATTTATCTTGATTTAAGGATCTTTAGATATTTTATTTCTTTTTTAAAAGCTGAACTGCTGTAATGTTGATGTCCAGAGGGTAATGGACACTGGAGAATTAGACACACAGCCTCAGCATTTGACTCTGGATTCTGGATGTTCCAGAGTTAAAAGAGTTTGGAGTGGGGGATTGTGGGTCGGCTGACCCTGGGGCAGAGTGTTTCCTCTTGGCCTGGCTGTAATACAAGTGCAGGGAAGGAGAAGAAAAGGTCTTGGCTTTGCTGCTCAGGGTCTGTGGACCCACAATGGTGTCCAACCTGAATGAGAGAGCGCAGACAGGGAGATAAGACAGACACGGACATATAGATGTAGAAAGTGTGCATAAGAAAACAAACCTATTGAACTATTTTCTGTACAGCTTTTTGTAAATACAGTGGGTACGGAAAGTATTCAGACCCCCTTCAATTTTTCACTCTTTGTTATATTGCAGCCATTTGCTAAAATCATTTAAGTAAATTTTTTTTCCTCATTAATGTACACACAGCACCCCATATTGACAGAAAAACACAGAATTGTTGACATTTTTGCAGATTTATTAAAAAAGAAAAACTGAAATATCACATGGTCCTAAGTATTCAGACCCTTTGCTGTGACACTCATATATTTAACTCAGGTGCTGTCCATTTCTTCTGATCATCCTTGAGATGGTTCTACACCTTCATTTGAGTCCAGCTGTGTTTGATTATACTGATTGGACTTGATTAGGAAAGCCACACACCTGTCTATATAAGACCTTACAGCTCACAGTGCATGTCAGAGCAAATGAGAATCATGAGGTCAAAGGAACTGCCTGAAGAGCTCAGAGACAGAATTGTGGCAAGGCACAGATCTGGCCAAGGTTACAAAAAAAATTCTGCTGCACTTAAGGTTCCCAAGAGCACAGTGGCCTCCATTCCTTAAATGGAAGACGTTTGGGACCACCAGAACCCTTCCTAGAGCTGGCCGTCCGGCCAAACTGAGCTATCAGGGGACAAGAGCCTTGGTGAGAGAGGTAAAGAAGAACCCAAAGATCACTGTGGCTGAGCGCCAGAGATGCAGTCGGGAGATGGGAGAAAGTTGTAGAAAGTCAACCACCACTGCAGCCCTCCACCAGGCGGGGATTTATGGCAGAGTGGCCCGACGGAACCCTCTCCTTAGTGCAAGACACATGAAAAAACACCTGAAGGACTCCAAGATGGTGAGAAATAAGATTCTCTGGTCTGATGAGAACTTTTTGGCCTTAATTCTAAGCAGTATGTGTGGAGAAAACCAGGCACTGCTCATCACCTGTCCAATACAGTCCCAACAGTGAAGCATGGTGGTGGCAGCATCATGCTGTGGGGGGGTTTTTCAGCTGCAGGGACAGGACGACTGGTTGCAATCAAGGGAAAGATGAATGCGGCCAAGTACAGGGATATCCTGGAAGAAAACCTTCTCCAGAGTGCTCAGGACCTCAGACAGGGCCGAAGGTTTACCTTCCAACAAGACAATGACCCTAAGCACACAGCTAAAATAACGAAGGAGTGGCTTCACAACAACTCTGTGACTGTTCTTGAATGGCCCAGCCAGAGCCCTGACTTAAACCCAATTGAGCATCTCTGGAGAGACCTAAAAATGGCTGTCCACCAACGTTTACCATCCAACCTGACAGAACTGGAGAGGATCTGCAAGGAGGAATGGCAGAGGATCCCCAAATCCAGGTGTGAAAAACTTGTTGCATCTTTCCCAAAAAGACTCATGGCTGTATTCGATCAAAAGGGTGCTTCTACTAAATACTGAGCAAAGGGTCTGAATACTTAGGACCATCTGATATTTCAGTTTTTCTTTTTTAATAAATTTGCAAAAATGTCAACAATTCTGTGTTTTTCTGTCAATATGGGGTGCTGTGTGTACATTAATGAGGAAAAAAAATTAACTTAAATGATTTTAGCAAATGGCTGCAATATAAGAAAGAGTGAAAAATTTAAGGGGGTCTGAATACTTTCCGTACCCACTGTATGTATTTGTGCTAACTGCATTTGTTAATGTGTATTGTTGTGTGAGAATTGTATGCAAAAAAAAAAAAGAAAAATGAACGGAGAAGTTATAAATGAATTGATAACTTTTAGTCACATGTTCACGTTGAACATATTTTCACCACACAACCAGGGCTGGTTAATCTCACCTAGTCTGGAGACTCTTGATACGATATAGCATATCCAGGTGACCAGCAGAGTATTGCTCAATCACATCTTTCACATCATACGGTCGAAGCGTCTCCTTAAACTTCTTCTTGGCCACATGGAATTTCATTATCCTGTCAACAGTGAAACAAAAAACAAGACTCAACTAACTTTTGATTAGAAATTATGACACACAGGCATATGCAGTAAAGGTAAGGAAAAATAATGCAATATGTTTTTTCTTATTTGCAGTTTAAATATATTTAATGTTTATTTAAAATAGATTTGTTTAAAAAATAAATAAATAATAAGACACATTTTCATTAAATGCATCTTGAAATAAGTTTATATTTCTTACTCTATTGGAAAAAGTTTTTTTTTTTTAACCATGAAAAATTTTAATTGTTTCAACCATGAAAAAATTTCATAAAATAAGATATTTCTAGTTACATTTGAAGATATATCTACAAACAGTATATTATGTGCATACGCAATCAGCACAACAAAGCAAACCTCTTTGCAACTCCCAAATAAACAAGCCTGCAAGTTGTGTAAGCTTGCTCAGAACCACTAGAGGGCAGAAATGAGCCACAAATACCACAACAGTTTATGACTCAGAGAAAAAATAGGATTAGATATACCTCTGCTTTAAAAACAGTTTATAATAATATTACTCAAGTAAGGCTCATGTTCTAGTAAAGCTATGTGCTACAGATGACATTAGCTGTGAAAACACAGGCATTACCGCAGGCACACTGAAACCTAAACCTATTCTATGCGCAACATTCCGCAGAGTGAAGGTGAAAAAGCAAATATTGACACAGAGGGGAGCAGATTTCAGTGATCTGTTTCTGTAACGTCTTGCAGATTCAAGCCCCTGTGAGTTTTCTTCCTGTCAGATGAGCTGGTGTGTAAGCAGAACTGACTGTGAACATTTCTATCCGACACCCTGGGAAAGATGAGTGGGAAAAATCTCAGCCCACCTGCGAGACCCTAATAGTTCGGAACAATGGAAGTGAAGTCACATGAAGCAACATCAGTGGCCTGTTCCAGCAGGAGAGAGACAGCAGTGACCATCTAACCCTGATGCCTCAATCAATAGGCCAGGAAGGTCAAAATGAGTGTTTTCAACCCTGCAACTATACAGTGTGAATTCTTCTAGCTTTCACAAGGGGAGAACAACGTTCTCTGGGAAGTCAAACTCACCTGACAGCCCTGATCACTGCCTTTAGTGGGGCAGATAGATCTTCCACAGTCACATCACAATGGCAACCCTTCTCATCAAAAGCATCATCCGGTCCAAGATTTGTGTCAGCTGTGAGAGAAAGAGCGAGAAAGTGAAAGAATCTGAATCGTAGCAAGCAAAAACATTTTTACAGCGATCCTCAAAAAGGCTGAAAAATAAACTAGGCTGAAAAGTAGAGAAAGCCTAGGGCAGATCAATACAGCTATGAATCAAAATAGCATTCAAAGCAAATCTTTCCCTTGACCCCCATCACACTGACCACAGGCCAGTCCACTGAGCTTTACTGCATGAATACTGGAAGAAAGTACTGCTGTACTGACGCATCACATTAAGCTGAAAGGCAACAAAATGACTTAAGGAGTCACAAAAAGTGTCTGAGAATCTGACAAAGGACAAGCAGTTTGGAGAATGGATGGATGGATGGAAATGTCCATTATTTAAACAATATCACTATCAATGCCACTGTATTTAAACAAACAAAGGACTTGACTGTGAATCAAAAACAAAGCGAAACAGGTAACAGACAAAATATATGATGCTTGTAGAAGAGAACGAATTCTTCCATTTAAACTGTGTGTGATGCCTGACACAGATAAACAGCAGAGGATGAGAGATTGCTATTAAAATGTGAAGCATTTTCTCTTCCTCAGCAGTGACTTATGGGTTATATACAGTAACCTGTGGCGGATCTATAGTGTGTGCTATATAAGAGTATGAAGCCAGAGAGTGGTAGCACAGCTACCACAGATTCATTTTGGGTTGATGGGTCTCATACAGGGCTGGAGCTTGATCGCCACTGCCACTGAGAAGCTACCTTTGTAAAATCTGCTTGTTAGTAGTAATTGGGCACTTCTGTGAAAATGTACTGATTGGGAATGTTACAATAAATCTTATGGTACAACAATAACAAAACATGTAGGTGCAGTGTTGGAGAGTGACTAGAAGTAGTGAATCATTCTTTAGCATGACAACTGCAGCTTTTCCAGCAACAAAGTAATCCTTAAAATGTTACATTTCTGTATTTTATATCACATTGTTTGCATACTTGGCTTTGCTGAATAATTAAATTAACTCTCCTAAACTAGCATTTGGAAGTCAGATTAATATCAGTAAATTAGTTTATTCAGTTGGTTCGAATGTAAATCAAGCGTTCATCTATGCATCTGATCTGATGTGCTGTGTAGAAGTCCATTCTTGTGTCATGAAACAAAAATTAACTAAATGTATGTTATTGATCTTATTGTGAAAAATATATTTATGTACACTTAGAAGTTTTTATTTATGTATTTATTTTTGAAAATAGCTTAATCTTTAGGTGAAAACGTCAGACTTCTCTCTTTGGTGATGTTTTGCAATCTTCTCCAATCTTTTATTCCATTTAAACCTGTCCCTGTAACCTCATGTTAATCTATGTAGCTGCAGTGATGGGGCCACATGGGGGGCCACATTATTCCAATCCTTTGTGACTAATGTACAGGATTCTGTCAATAATGAAAATCCTCTTATAAACAATGTCTCTATCTCCACTTTGCGCTCTTCTTCCCTGAGTGGCATTCTGGTGATGGGGGCATGAGCCAAGGTTAACTAGTGCAAACAGAGGGTCCCATGGGAGACCGTGTTCTCCCACTGCACCACAGTGTGCTTGTAAATCCTGCCTTCAGGGACAAGTCCAAAAAAACAATACAGTATATAGGGAAAGACTCATTCTTGTTTATAAAGGGTCAAATGGTGTCAAGACTAGCAGATAACACAGCAAACATGACCTATAATTATTTTTAAAATTAAGTAATTAATCATTTGTGAAGCAAATTAAACCACAGGTCTGATTATCAGCTAATGAGAACTTTCCTAAATCTGCTTCTATTACAATAGAAGTGGAACAACAGTGACCAAATAAAAAAAGCTGTTCACCTTCAGTTGTTGTGCGCGATTGGCTCTTGAGTCTCAGTGATGGCCGGAAGCGTGTTCGGTCATTGAAGCTCCAGCTCTTCTGGACCTTGGCAGGGCTGCTGCCCTCAACCCCAACCTCTGTGGCAGGAGAGCGTCGGTCATTCACTGACATCTGTCTGCTCTTCATGCTCTGACCGCGAGGACTGGCCATGCGCACACGCTCCCGAAAACTTAACTTTTGACTGAAGGAGAGGAAAGAAGAGGAATGGAAGAGGATGGGAAGTAGGAAGGGACAAATAAACAGAGAAATAATTAAACATGGAATGGAAATAAAGATGTATTTAACTAAAGTTTGGTTTAATAAAAACTGTTGTGATGGCTTGTTTTGGACCTGCAAGTTTCTCAACTAAATTCCTCCAGTACAACTATTTTTTGTTGACACGATTTGGAACCACATCTTACTTGGAAGTTGACTTTTCTGAAAAATTGCATCAAAAGACCATCATGCAACACAAACCTCATTCCACGGCTTCCACCAATCAGCAAGCAATATTTTGAAGAATGACTCTCTAACCACCCTACTTCTTTTGATACCTTCAATGTGGAGCAGCCTGACAACATTTCCATGTACCTTTCTAAGCCTGATGTTGAGGCCCGGAATATTAACAGTTTATGAGCAGAACAGTTCTATACGTATTCCTTCAAAGACAAAAATTCCATAAGCTGGGGTTCTTAATTCATGCTGGAATGCTTAATTCATGTCTACATAGTCCACTGAGCTCATGCTTGGTATTGAGTTTGTATGTGAAAGAGATGTAGTGTAAAAGGAGAGTGAAGACATAATGCTATAAAGGTGACTTACAAGACTATAGAGCCAAATTTCATGCACATGCAACATGCAGGTTAAGACTAATGTGTTAATGCAAACAGATACAAATACAGTACAGTCAGAGATATCCTTCACAACTGAACTGAACCTTTAAAACCACTTGATCGGATTATTCCTGCATTGCAATGTGGGATGTTGGAAAACTGGTGGTTTTAAGTTTAGAAGCTTTACATTATTTTATTATTATAAAAAATTAGATAATGTATCATTTTGGTAATAATATTGTAGAGTAATTTCTGCATGTCAGATAGGGGTATTGGATAGATCAGTCAGTGGCAGTTAAATCCTTCAGGCAACAGGCAATAGGACCCTCGTATTAGACCCTCTGTAGGGTCTGTAAGGTTATCTGAGGTGGCCGTCATCATCCATGCATAAGGTAAGTCAGCATTCACATTGGTCATATTGCTGGAGCAGTGGGGGATGCTGGGTACCTATATTTCCATGTGGTATACCTCCTGAAGAGCCTCTGTTTATTACTATGACCCTTACTAAGGAAATGAGGAAGACAGATGGCAGATGAGTTAGTTAGACTGTGAGCAGAAACAACCTACTTAAGTGGAAGAAATTATATGGATGGAACAACATCGAAACGGTAAAAATGGAGCAAAATGCAAAATAAATTGCCATGTTTTTGCAACCAAACATGGTAATATAAAGTTTAATTAGCACTGCACCAAACTACATACACTCACAAGCACATTCACACTAGAAGTACTGTATATTAGAAGTAAACAGGGTACAAAACTTGTCTAACAACCAAAGAATTTGACAAACTTTCTTGGATTTGCTGGCTAATTATAACATATCTTTCTGTAAATATTTTGTTCCTTTCACTCTCTAACCAGTACAAATGGATTATGTGGATTGTGGATTATACTTAATGTTTTCTTAAAGACTAAAGACTTAATGTTCATCCATTTAAAAGGTTTCACAAGCGGCGCAGAAAGTATTCACAGCTTAGCTGTTTGCTGTAATGCCTTTGCAATTTGAAGGTTAATTTTCCATCACATTTAATGACACATTTGCCACACATTGTGGGGCTTTTCCAACTGTAAATTACTTAATTTAATTCTGAGTGCTGGTGCTCTGCTCTTCACATATTTAATACGAACCATGCAAACATCCAGCCTGGGGTGCAACCATTATTTACAGGGACTGAGCAATAAGCTCCACCCCTGCTGAAATCACTTTTAAAACAAAAAGTTACCAGCCTGACAGCAAACATCTGACCACACTATGGCCTTGAAGATGCGACTGTCTTTAATGTGTCTAAACATAGTCAAGTACTGTGTACAAACATGCAGAGTCCTAAATGTCAACAGCTAAGACTGGAACTGAGTCACTACTGCTATTACTCACTGGGCCTATTGATGAAATGTATTTAGAATAGGATGTGGGGTTGTTATCGGGGGGGGGGGTCGTTATCGGCAGTCATATTTATTGACTGTTAAATATGTTTTATATTTAACAGTCAATATAAACAATCTCTGAATGGAAAAAGTGCATCACGTTTCTATCCATGTAGCTAGACAGAGAGAAGTAAGCCAAAGTACCATGTCTATTACAGAAGAAGCCCTGCAAGTGCAAACACACACACACACACACACACACACACACACACACAGACACAGACACAGACACACACAGACACACACACACAGACAGACACACACACACAGACACTTTGGTGGAGATGAACACTTGTTCTTAGTAAGCAAAGCGAAGCTGCTCCACAGCTAAGCTACTATTCTATGACTTTTGCTATATGGTTCTCTGAAATATTTGTTTGGGATTGGTCAATTGTGGCCAATGCAGTGGTGAAACTAAACCATGAAACTGTATATTTGTCTATTGTCCAAAAAAAAATACTGGTGCTACTTTCATGTTGCAGGAATCACTCTGTGCTTCTCTATAGAATAGTATATTTATATATTAAAATATAATTACATTTATATATTAATATTAATTAATGTACATAAATATATATTTAAACATGTTTGTTGAATCACTAATATAATTCTATATTACATTAATTAATAAAAATACATTACAAAATAGTAATACTGTGAAGTATTATTAAAATATATATTTAAAAAAAATCTACTTTAATATATTTAAAAATGAATTTTATTCCTGTAATGGAAAGCCTAAATTTTCAGCAGCCATTACTCCAGTATTCATTGTCACATGATCCTTCAGAAATCATTCTAATATACTGATTAATATGATATAGTATACAATATATATTGGGGCTCAATTAATATTATTATCACACTTAATATTTTTTGTTAAACTCATAATTTCTTCAGGATTCTTTGATGAATAGAAAGTTAAAAAAGAACAGCCTGTAAACATTTAAATGTCTTTACTGCAACTTTTAATAAATTGAATGCATCCTTGCTGACTATAATGTACAAGTAATATAATAAACCAAATTAAAATCAATATTTTACAAATGATATGTAGCCTTGTCATAAGAGACAGTACAGTTAGCTTCACATTGGTGTCCTGATCATCCTGTCTTGGTTTATTATGTGATAATTAGCAGATACCACACATACTATAGCTACTATTTCAAATAAATAAAAAATCAGTGGGAGGGAATGATAAAGCAAGACACGTAACATGCCATGACTGAATGTACTTAATTCTTCTCCCTATTTTTATTGATGCACTGGAAGCTAAAAGACAATCAATACTTAAATAATTCAAACATTCCGGACACTAGGAGGATGTAGATACGAGAACAACAAACCTGCTGATGGATTCCCCCTGGTCTTTCCTTCAGGTGTTAGTTAAAAACATAGAGAGAAAAGAGGCAGGATATTAACACTTCACATGAACGACAGAAACTAATAAGGAGACTACAGAAGAGACACAGATGCCTCTGAAATATACGAAGTGTTTCATTGTAGGAATGACACACCAATATATTTCACTGTGTCACACAAATTATAGTTTAAATGTTAAAAAAAGGAAATTAAACAAATATACCTCAACACACACACACACACACATTAGGAGTAAGAAGAAATGGAGAGTCTTTTTTAAGACAGGCAGCAAACAAGCAGGCATGCAAGCTTTGAGCAATGCACAGTCAAGCTGACTAAGACAAGCGCTAACAGAAGAGGGACAGCTGTGTTATCAAGGGCTGCTCTGTGTGTAATTACTCCAGAATTGGGGAATTGCCTGAATATAGCAGTACACCCATTTGTCAGAGCATTGTCATGTGTCTGTCTTCAGGTGTCAGTCCACAAACTGTCCTGGCTTCTGTCCAGTTTGATTTATCGGTAGGGGAAATTTCAGTTAGCCACAGCATATACACGAGGAAGCAGGTGTGAGGCTGTGGCTCTCATTCAAACGGAAACTTTGAAGCTTCAGTTATACAGAAGACTTATGTTCACTGTCAAAACCTGAGGGTTGTGAGCTATTTCAGTAACTGTACATCATTAAGTATTATTTTGGGGAACTTGTACTATTGAAACTGAATATGTATTCTCTTACTGAATTACATTTCTAAGGGCAAATCACACTTTTCAAATTGTCATACTCATTTAGCCTTCCAAAGAACAAAGTAAATTTGCAGAACATAATGAGCCAAATATTTGATCTTTTTTGTGCATCTTACAGAGCTAGAGGGCCATTCAAATTACACTCACACAACAAGCTAATAAAATGCATTTCATGGTAATTAGCCTCCACTACAGTTTACAAGTATTTGTCCTCATGAAGAGATTTTTCATCAGTCACCAACAGTCTTTGACCTAAAAAAAATAAGTTCTAATTCTAGCTATTCTCAGGAATGAACAACTTGATTTGAGTATGAACACATTATTCTATATTAATAATGATCCAGCATCAAAGAATAATAAAACCATTTGATGTTACATTTAAAGTATAACAGTTTTGACTAATGTACAGTTCTTTATTTATTTAGTAAATGAAAATTTAAGGAGTCCGAAGAGTTGGGTTTGTATCAAAGAAATAGTTTTGTTTGTTAGATATTCTTATTTTGTTCATTTCAGCAGTCTATGAAAGCTGCTTCCACCACGGAGTAAAATTTATAACAAAACTGATTTTATGTCTCCAAGTTAACAACTTGCAATTTAGACTTTATTCTTTGAATTGTGAGTTTATAATACACAATTCTGACTTTAACACAATTATCAGTGTAAATCTCACAATTTTGAGGTCCCTCTTAAAAGAGATATAAACTCCAAGAGATATATAAAAAAAGTCTGAAATGTGAGCTGAACTCAGAATTATGTGGAAAAAAAATCTGAATTGTGAAATATATGCTCACAATTCTGAAAAGAAAAGACTGAATTTTGAGATACAAATGTGCAATTCTGGAAAAAAAGTCCAAGTGTGAAATGTTATCTTAAAATTGCAGATGTAAACTTATAGTTGCAAGAAATAAAATCAAAAATGTGTTATAAACTTGCACTTCTGAGAAAAATTCAAAATTGTGAGATGAAAAGTTTATTATCATTATTCAGTAGCAATTCATGTATGTTTTAGGAAAGGTATTTTGACATTTAACATTACAATTTTAACAAAGTATCCATACTTGGGTATCATTTATTTGTACTTTTGACATCTGGCCATACGCGTTTTTTCAGTGACCTAATGAGGATTTAAATAAGCATGGATATCTATAGACTACGGTAGGGCACAGAAGAGATGATTATGCTTAGGAAGAGAGACAGATTGAGGGAAAACAGAGTTTATTTGCTGAGGGAAGTGGGGAAATGAGAGCTACAGAAGCACTGACACCAAATACGACACCAGCTGCCACAGTTGTACCTACTTTGTAGGGCTGCAGGTATGCAACGCCTTCAAATGAGGCTTCCAGGTAGCAACGGAAACCGAGTTCTCATCAGCCGCATAGCTACGCCACACACACTACGTGCAGAATATACAAAACCAGGAAAATAGGGAGGGAAATGAGGACAGTAGAAAGTAAAAAGAGAAATACACAAGGCCAGGAAAAAAGCAGGGATTGGAAAAAAAAGGAGAACAACAAAAGAAAAAAAAAAGATTAGTAACAACCGGTTCATGTAAGCGCTCTTCCATCAGTTCACTGCATTGATACATGCCTTTGAGGAGGGAGAACACTTTTATAGAACAGCCATGTGGCACTCAGGTATGTTCTGGAGAGGTCTGTGGAGTAGAGACGCCACGCAGCCTGGTGCAGGAGACAGACACACACAGACGGAGACATGGGTGGAGAAAGACAATAGCACGGTGAGGGAACAGCCAGTGAATCATTGATCGAGCTCAAGACATTTCTTCAAACTGCTGCTTTCATTTTGTTTAAATGTTCGAAGTTTTCAGTAATGCTGGAAAACATGTTAGCCTATGTATTTTGAGGACCAAAAGTCTGAGACCACTAGTGAAAATGCTTTTTTAAAAAATAAGATTATCTGCATAACAATGTGAGTAAAAAGATAAAAATGAATTCATTATTTCTTAGCATATGGTTTTGCTTAGAAATAATGCAGCACTTGAGTTGCATGACCTTCACAAGTTAGTGGAAAACCCGATAATTATGTTTTCCAGCATGATCTGAGAATGATCCAAAGAGCATCTTGAGGAAGTAAGAACATCTGACCGTCGGTCCAAATAGTCACATGATGTCTCTAATGTATTAAATATCTCTTATTTCTGTAATAATATTTCATTTTTTAATGTTAATGTCAATTTTTTTCAGGTTTAAATTGCAGTATATTTGAATTCCAGATTTTTGATGATGTCTTAGACTTGTGGATCCCACTGTACACAATTCAAGAAGATTTTAGTGTTTTTCACACATCTACCATGTCCAAATATGAGAGCAGATCAGTGTTGAACAAATGTCTTGACTTTGGGTGGCACACACAACATCAAAACAGCCAAAGGACTTAAATGTAAGTGATGTGGTGAATGAAAAGAGGAATACATTTATCCAGTGAAAAGTGTTTATATATAAAAAGGTGTTTATAAAGCACAAACTTTTTAAAATAAAAGCAAAAAGTGTTTGTGGCCTCGTATGTTTTAATTTAAGGGTTTACGTGTGGCCATTTGACTCTAAAATAGTATTATTTCAATCTAAATACAATTATATAATTAATACTTTTATGAGTATTTGACCACACAGATGTTGTTGTAGGATATAATGTACAGCCAACACGAACCCCTGCTTGCATTTAACTTCTGATTTTGCAATGTATATGGTATAACAATGAAATAGCATTTTATTCATTGGTAATAGACTGAATTGTAAAAAGTGGGCTATGTATACTAGAATGAAGCAAGCCTTGAATGTGAATTTACTAAAACAAAACCTAATTTCTTTTTTTTTTCTAAATTATCCAATATACTGAATGATGCCAGCAGAAATGGAAAGTGATTGCTAAGGAAGAACAAGTCATTTTGATTAAAAACTACAAACAAAAGAAACAAAACGAATAATGTGCACTAATGAAGCATTCACAATAGGTACATGCATTAAGAAAGTCAACAGGGTCATTTTTATTTAATGTTGACTTATAATAATGTGATAATGGATATGGTTTTATGCATCAAGATGTAAAACTGCGTTAAAAACCATAAGAAAGAAACAGAAGACGTGTTGTGAGGCGAAAAACATCAGAAGGATGAAAGATTGAAGATGGAGCTCTCAAACTGCGTGACGCAGCAGTGAGGAGGGAGGGTATATTTTCCATCATTCTCTACAATAATGTCAGTAAAAGAGAAAAGGCAATCGTAACATGCAGGAAAGAATCCGAACCCAGACATAGCTGAGAGTCATACTCCACAGATCATAATTAAGATATATTTTCCTGGGTTATATAAAGACCTGAAGTGATTTAAGGGAGGTGAGAGAGCACAAATGATGAGAAATATTGCACCAATGCAATCCCTGCAACATTACATCTTAAACAACACAGCATGGTTAAAATACAGAGTTACTGACAACAGTAATTAAAGCTGGATGGTTGGATGCCCGCTGAAAGACCTTTGGAAAAAGGAAAGAAAATTAAAAACAGGGTGAAGACAGATCAGGAAAAGAGACAACATAAACATTAGGACTGATGAATATATGAGACATTCTCTGTCTGCAATATCAGAAAACAACCTGGAGAAAGAAAAGGGGTCATGGTGGTTAAAATAGTTGGGAAATTCCATGTGGGTTTTCAACAGCAGCCAAAAGGAAGTAACTAATTTCTATAATATTACAGGACCTCAATGTTTTGTAGATGTGTGTTTGTGTGTGTGTGTGGACATTTTCCTAGAGTAAATCTGTTTCTTCTGCTAGAGGAGAAGGATGCACCGTCCATTAGGAAGAGCTATTGTCCTCAGGGAGGCCCTTGCTCAGAATTCCTTCTGTGGAAACACATCATAAATATCTGCAAGTGTTTCCTTTGGCTCTGACGGAAGATAATAGTCCTCATGTAATCAATGCTCGTGGTATTCTTCGCTTTCTCTCCTTTCATTTAAAAATGAACTTGGTTCATTTGTATTATTTCATTCAAATAATTGTTTTATTATTAAAAACGTTTAGATGTTTTAACTGGAAAAGATGACAAATAAACTGATAAAAAAAAATTATTTTACAATTAATTGTTCATTCAAAATTAATTTTAATTAAAAATAAAAAATAAATTATTTATATTAAATATTAATTTAGTATCACGATTATTAAGATTATTATTCAATTTAAACTACTGTTGTTTTAAAAATCATTGAGATACTATTGTAATTATTGTTAATATTGTGAATTAGATTTTATTTTCAATTTCATGTTAACTTTAAGTTTTAGTTATTTTAGTACAATAGGAAAAATGGGAAATGTTGAAGAAACTAGCTGAAATAAAATAAGTTTGTGTTTTTTATATTTACATTCATAAGCGCAGATCCCATGGGTGCTTAGGTGCTCGAGCACCCACGGAAATGAATGAGGCCCATTCATAAAACACAAGCAGAACGAATTTTTGTGTAAATCGTTCTTAAAGCTGTTCTGACGTAAATTTTCGGATTCATGAAAGTGTTTGTATTTTCAAAATGTTAGTTGGTACGAAAGAAACGTACACCTGCTCCTTACCACTTGTAAATGGAGCGTAAAAAGTTCTGTGTTCTTTTTGGCAAACGGATGACACTGAATTTTGATGCACTGCTATCATAATACTTTACAAGGTTGTTTGCTCTGTTTTTTGTTTTTTTTGTAGCTGAGAGTTGATAGTGCTTGTCACTGTCACTTTTTACCCAGCCGTCCAATTAATGGAGGAGGGGCGGGACAAATACTACACCGACCAATCATCCTACTTGTACAACAACTGAACAACAATAGAGAAGTTAATATTGCTGGTTACTGCATTTTCATATTCAGTAATATTCTTCAAAATGAGATACTAGTAATACGTTACTGCCGATATTCCACATCATATCAACCAAATCGACAGCTGGAAAAATGCTGTGCCACCAAAGCATTCTCAAGCGCCACCAGCTGGTCGTTTTCAGAAGAGTGCCTGACATTTTTTCAGCTGGCTAAAAACGCTTTGGTGGACACATGTTATTGAATATTTATTGTTAGGCATATGACCTATTAGTCTGTTTTGCATTTATGCAATATACTGAAGCCAAACCTGAGAAAATAGATCAGAATATTCCACTGCATTCCTGGACACGCAATTTGCGTAGTTGTAATTCATAGGCAGGGATTATGCTAATTGTGAATGAGCATGCAGAGCACCCTATTTGCGAATGATTGGAATTCATTAACATACACATGTTTAACTATCAAATCTGATGTGTATGAAGTGTTTGTGAATCTGGAGGGGAGTTTTTGGGAAGGTCTGTTTTACGCACAAATTACTTTGAATTTACTCCTATATTTATGAATGTTTCATGAATGAGGCCCAATGTGTGTATTAGGCCTATTTAGGTGGGTGGGGGTTTAGCACCCACCAACAGAAACATAAATCGGCGTCTATGTTTACATTTATTTCAATTAATATTTATTTCAAGTAACATTCAACCTTTTTCTTTCTTTTTTTAGTTTCTGACTCATTTAACTATAATAACTGATTTAAAATGACAATATCAGGGAAGAGTGCCATTGTCTTATAAATGTCCCATTATAAAACGGGTAGGTATGAAACTAATTTGATATTAACATAGCAACTATGTGCAGTGTAAGTGTATATTTAAATTAATCTGATCTTTGTGGATGAGAATCAGAACAGGGCAAATCATAAATTTTTCAAGGGTTCCTTAAAAAAACACCAATTATGAAACATGAAGAGATTTGAGCATTAAGCGTTCTTTGTTTTAAATTCTAATGAAGCAATATGTGTTGAGTTCTGAATGTCTGACTGATCGAGATTTTGAGATAGGATGAGCTTACCTGTATGAGGCTGGCTGCTGGGTTTCTCCTCTTTTCAAAGTGCTTCTGTCTGTGCTGCTCTTGGACCTTCAGAGCAAAGCCAGAGCCAAGAATACCCTGCACCCACAGAAAAGAACACAAACGCACCCTATTACTAAGGTTGAATCTGCTGATTTGGACTAACACCTGTTTCACACATACTCCGTTTGCAGTGTGTATGCAGTCCATGTGCGTTACGTATGCGGTGCAGAAGCAGCACGGACTCATTGTGCTTTCACACAGGATGCGTTTGCAGTCCGCTCCTGATCCGTGGCTGTTTACCACAAACCCAACATTTATCTATTATTTTGATTTCAAATCCAAACGTTGTTAGCCTATACTGAAAGTGATTTTCATTATTGTGATCCTCTTTTATCACAGTACAGTTACACAATCTTTCATAGACATATTCACGTTTAAACTCAATTAATATAAACAATGTATTAAAGGCATTTGGCTTCTAGATTTGTATATTAATTTGCTCAAGCAAGTGGAAACACATTTAAACATAGCATATAGCCTACTTTTCTTGTGTTAGGCTATCACAAATATTTTAAATTAAAACTTACCACTGACAGAAACAGTCGGCTCTCTTGCCTTTTACATTTACATCTCTATTACAAACTGCCCCGTGGGTCTTAAATAACTGTTTTTCTACCTCCACAAGACACAAGTGCATATGTTGCCTTGTTTATCTAAAAGTGCACTTTTCTTTGTTTTAAACCTAGCCAAAAAGCCTGTGAAACAGACTTTAATTATATATATTTATTGTGAAATTACTACATTTCCATGTCAATCCATGTTCATTTTTACCGCAAACAAAGCATTGTTACTTTAACTCAGCGAGTGCAGCACAGCAAAAATAGACTCGGTGCGGAAACGATCTCTGCACTGCTGCAGACGCACCACTCCTGGAACGCACTGACGGACCGCAACTGCGTGCAGTGTGAACGCTCTGATCCTTTAACATGGGTGTGGAAAAAAATACACACCGCAAACGCACTGCAGACGGAGTATGTGTGAAACAGGCGTAAGAGAGACTGAGTGTGCAGGACACATTTGTGAGCAGAGAGTCAAAGAACACTTGACGAGAATGAGTCAGACAGGCCACTGAGGGGCTTTACAGCAACACATACTGTGTGTTCTCAAACACATCACAAAAATCATCACAGTACAAACACTCTACCTGAGCTAACAAAAATGGTTTTAGTGATTTCAAGTTTCATCCTAAAAGACCACAAATCCCCCATCTCTCGTAAGTGAGATCACTTAAGAAGTCAGGATAAGAAGGCATAGCCTAATGCTTAAACTTATGTCTCATTTGTACATCTGTCATCATTTACTCACACTGAAGTTGTTCCAAAACTGTACATATTATTTCCCAGCTGAACACAAAAGAAGATATTTTGAGGAACTTTGGTAACCAAACAGCTGATGGTCCCCATTGACTTCCATGGTATCTTATTTCCATACTATGAAAATTTGGATCATCTTTTTTCCCTACTGTGTCATATATGCAAGTGAAACGGCTTGTTGGATGTGAATTGTAGGGTGGGACTTGATTTTTACGAAGAATTGTAAAATGACTTCATGGTGACTGCAAATTTCTGCACACATATGACGTCAGAAACATTGGAATTTAGTGCATGAGTCATGATTACTTCAATTATGTTTTTATGGAGTTTTATATGGAAGAAAAAAGAATTCTTCAAAAAAGAAAGCAATAATCATCATGTTTGGGACAACATGAGGTTGAGTAAATGCAGACAGAATTTAAATTTTTGAGTATACTATAGCTTTAACTTCTATTTTTTTATAAATCCATTGTTATGTAAAACAATATTTACCCCTATCTATTCTAATGTCAGCATGTGAGTCATGCAGTACATATCAGGTTGGAGCTACTCACAGCAGGCAAAGCGAAGAACGAGATGCCCAGCAAAGCAAACCCTGCAGACAGAAGCCGCCCGGTCCAGGTCTGTGGAGTCTTATCGCCATATCCAATGGTGGTGAGCGTGATCTGAAGAAAGATGTGAGAATATGAAGGGTCAACCTTTTTTATATGTTTAAAAGACTAGGGTCATATTGCTAAAGACTTCCCACAGACAGACAGCATTGAATTATGTGTCTGGTTGCAGGCCCGCAGTGTACTTTAAGACTCCACATATCACCTTCACTCATGTATGGAGGAGGAATAGTAACCTCTACACACTCTGACTGCATCTACATGATGGCCAAACATATATCGAATTCTGGCCAGGGCGCATTGGAAAGTCAAAGGCATCCAAACATGCAGTCAATTCAGTCCATTTATGCCATGTTAAATACCCATAAACACCAATCTGCATTCTAAAGTTACGGCCACACAGATGCATGGTATTAGATCCATCTTTCAGCAAGAGAAATACTTTGGTGGCTCGTCAAAAAAAAAAGGATCAGTCTAACATCTCGCACTCCTTTCCACACTCATAAGTGAACTCTTTGGATTCTTGCAGGCAGGGGATACTTAAACAAAGGCCCGGCCAAAGCAAATTCAACACATCCAGTAAAAGTGAGTGATTTGTCAAATGCAAAGAGCACTGCGGCCTTTCACAGCGCTTTGAGGAAAAGACTAGGAGTGTGGGAGCTCACACACAAAGCCAGACTCCCGTTCTCCTGTTTTCCTCCACGGAAGCCTGCCTGTCAGCTCCAGACGCTGGCTTGGGCTCAACCCAGTGTAAATACCGTGTGGCTGCATAATATTGGCCCACCGCTGGTTTGTCTCTGCATCTGAGCTCTACAGCAGAAGACCATACCCTCAACTGACCTCACATCTCCTCGAAACAGCTCTGTTTGTGCTTGGTAGGAGCAGGAAATTACATGCATTGATTTGTTAAGTCAGCTGGTGAGGAACCATGACCAGTCCTGCTGTGTGTACCACAACAACTAAACCCTGTCAAGGCCTAGGGTTGTAACTGGTCGCCGTGATTTTGCCAAGTAAGAAATTATCATCAATTAACATCTTTTGTTGATCCTGGATCAAGATTACTGTCGAAAAATATAGACTAACCCAATCCCTACCCCTAAACCTAACCCTAGCCATAATTTATTCCTAAAATCAGTGTGAAATGATAACTGATTAACACGGGTGTAGAAGCACCTAACCCTGATAGCAAACCTAAAACAGATATTTCCTGAAAAGTTATCCCTCAATTCTGATTGGTTAATTGGAATGTTGTTCCAGGATCAACAAGGATGTTGATCCAGGAACATGTTGTACTTGGTGAAGTCACCGGTTGTAACTCACTTATCGATTAATGCATGAAATACAGCAAAACACTGGCAATGCGTATTATTGAGCATCCTAAAATGCATCAATGGGGGATGGAATTTATATAGATTGTATATAGATGTGAAAAAGGGGGATTGTGTGTACATTTGTAGGAAAATGTGCACAAATGCTGAAAGGGATTAATGAAGAGCGAAAGGATGACGTTTAAGGAAGGCACTTAAGGTAGACTTACCGTTCCCCACCAAAGAGCATCTGCATAGGTGGCGAACTGTTTGTTAAACTCTTTCTCCACCAAGTAGACCAAGAATGAAGAAAAGATCAGCACCAAGAAGCCAATGTACCAGGCAGTCACAAGCTCCTGAAACAAACATCACAATTTAAAACATCCAACAAATTAAAGTCATTTCTTCAAAAATATCAAGACTAGTTTGGTGACCATCTAAAGGTTGGGAGATCAGTTTAAACCAGGTAATACCAGCATGGCCAGGTTGTAAAACCAGCTAGACCAATAGAGAAATGGCAAACATAACAAAGAGGACCATTTTCTTTTCCTTTTCTTGTTTTCTTTTTCTTTTTTTTGTTCTTTATTTTCTATTTTCTATAAAACTGTGCTGGAACACTGTTTATTGTAAAAAAAAAGTGCTTTGCAGATAAACTTATTTTGAATTACAATATTAATAAAATGTTTTAGAATATAAAAATGTTCAGCTTTTTTTCTGGTTTTAAAGAGGTTGTCAGGCTGGAAATCAACTGGATAGGAGGAAAACCAGAGGGGCCAGGCTGGGAGACCAGCTAAACCAGACTAAACTAGCAAAGACCAGCAAAACAAGCTGGTTTAAGCAGTTTTTTCAGTTTTATCAGGGATGTCAGGAAAATGTAACCGCTTAAGCCTGAAAGGAGATAGAAATAAGCAACTCTGCTATTATATTGACCACAATGATTCATTGCGGGGACCCCTAATCTCTCCACTAAATGATGGGTAACTGAGGACTGAGGAAGCGTGTGGTTTGGCCGCAGCCCGTGGATGAAGTTTCAGTCCAAGCGGTGCTGGAAAAAGAGGTTGATTGTGGGGTCACATGTCTGCCTCGACATGAAAACTCACACGCAATGTCATGACCGGAGCTCATTTACTAATTTTTGCTCTTAAATAGTATTCGATATACCTTGCTGTGAGCGTAGACAACAGATCCAAGCAGTTTCCAGGTACCGCCTCGCCTGTCCATGCGCACCATGCGCAGGATCTGCAAAAAACGCAGGCTGCGAAGTGCAGACGTGGCAAAAATATTGCCCTGGCTACCAGCTGAAACCACTGCGATGGATGCAATGAGCACAATAATGTCTAAAACACAAACACAGGAGACAAGGAACATTTGTATATGTTTACACCAAGACAGCAATAGAAATACTTTGATTGACTTATTAAAAATAATTATAGCAGTTGGTCAATTTAGGAGATGGAATCAGTGACTCACAGTCCTCTTTATCTCACAATATCATTATCACTTAACTTTGGCATCACTGAGCCAACTTCAACAAGGACTAAGACCACCCAGCCATTTCAAGAGCACCGGAGCCCATCTACCTATAAACTAAGCTTGCTGTTATTCTCTAAGACATCAGGAATAGAGATTTTTTTTTTTAAATTAGGCTGTTTCACTTGTCTGTTATGTCTTTCTCACTGAGGTCAGAGACAGAGAGAGGGGCCAAGAGAGAGCAGAGAAGCCACAGTCTTACAGAACAGCATATCTAATCCTTCGCTGCACACAGAAAAACCTCTCCAGCTCCCAGTGTGTCTTAACCAGGGATAATATTGTTCTTAACTTAAATCACCTCCGTCATATTTTCCTGCTGAATGTTACACTTGAGGTTTGAAATAAGAATGTTCTTGTGTCACACATGCTGAAGGTGGCCTCCTAAAAGTCTGTTATTTGAAATTCAAATCCCACAACCTTTGAAAGTTGCTACAAGGTGAAAATGGAACATTGAAGAACATGAGCAGATGGAAATGAGGGCAGCAGACTTGTGGTAGTTGTGAACAAAAGCCATACTACAAGATGGAAAGCCAAAAATTGTAAGTTACCAGTAGAGAAACTTTGAAAATCATGAAAGGCACAATTTTAGTTCTTTTTTTCTTTCCCCTTTCTTTAAAAGTTGCTTTGGAACAATGTGTGTTGTAAAAAAGCTATTTGTAAATAAACTAAATGAACTAATTAAATTACAATCTTAATAAAAAAAAATTATAACCAAACTTTCAGCTCAAGGTTTTAATATTTTAAATATTTTATAATAGGCTTTCATATGACAGTACTGACATCTCCTTGTTTAAAGCTACAGATCTCAGATTGTGTCCAGTGTAAAACATTTTTATTTAGACCACAGTTAAAAAATTTGGTCAGTAAGATATGTTAATATTGCTATTCATCAAGGATGCAATAAATTGCAGTAAAGACATTTAGAATGTTACATAAATGTTATGTAATATATTTTAATGTTAATTATTAAAATTATTTTCTGAAGGACTGGAGTAATAACGCTGAAAATTCAGCTTTGCCATCACAGGACAACATTACATTTTTACATATATTAAAATACAAAAGATTGTAATTTGTAATAATATAGCACAATATTGTTTTTATTGATAAGAGTCTTCTTACAAAAACATTTTTAAAAATTCTCAAACTTTTGAAACGGTAGTGTAAAGACATTGTTTTGGTGCACATGTATTCTTGTTTCACAAATCTTTATTTTATTTACTTGTTTATTTAATTTTTAATTTTTTTTATCTATTTCGTTTAACAAGATGAATTTACTGTAGGTAAATCAGGTTACTTTTGACAGCCCAAAAAAGTAGTTTTCCAGAATGTTTCTCAATTAATTAGTTGTTTAAAACATTTTAAATCACTGAAATGGTTTAATAGTTGCTATGTTGCCATGCAAAAGTGCTACATGAAGTCAAAGATAAATATATTTATATTAGATAACATGAAGATGAAATAATAGAGGATGTGGTCACATAAAGGGTTGGCAAGTGTATGTACATAATATGCAAAGACCTTTTCACAATTTCTAATAGGACATGCCAAATAAATGTGTTGAGCAGGGAGGGGAAATTGTTTCCTTTTCCTCTCTGTTTCATAATTCAGAGTTAGTCTCAGCGCTGATGGGATGCTGATGGAACTCAGCCTCCTAATGAATGGAGATGAGGTTCAGTGCATGACACACAACACACTGATATATTCACACTGGAGCCTAAATTACCCTCATGCAACACAACACCACATACACCACGTGTAATAAATATAAATAGCACTGGTTAGTTATTGCCTGTAATCCCTCATTGGTTAGTTATTGTCTGCTTTTCCTCATGAGGGTTTTACAAGAGAACTCTCACATTCATTATGTATGTTTGAGTCAGTCATCGATTTGGGGCAGAGGTGCTATCATTAGCCCATCGAGCATCCATCAACATCCACACCAACACAGCAGATCCATCACCCTCTACAAACACACATATGGAGAGCACACTCAAAGAACACGTTTTTTATCCTACCGATGACACAGAATGGTTTTCTTGCAAAGCGCAGTCGTCCTTGCCATCCCCTGTAGCGACAGCAGCATCCAGCCGACCAGATGCGAATGATGTACTCCAGACCGAACACAACAATCATCACAAACTCCTGCAAAACAAAAACACACACAAGTATAGTAGGGCTGTCAAAAAAAAAGTGAGGTCGTGGTTAGAACGCTTGGTTGAATGTATGATCAGACAAGATGACGACGAAGAAGAAGTGTTGCTGTAGCCTCAAGTTTTTGCAAGTTATTACACATGCACCTGAATAATTATGTATGTAAATATGTATGTTACAATTATGAAAATATTTTTATAATAAATTGCTGACAGTACAATACTGGACAATGACCTATCTGCAGAATTTATACTTCAATTATGAGACTACAGTGTTTCCCATACATTGAGTGCGGGTGTTTTTATATCACTGTATTTCTGAAGGAAACCAACTGTCTTCAGAAATTTGGATGTCATTTTCATTTATTCTTGCATGTAATGTCTGATAAAGCAGTGTTTTTTTTTTTAGCGGAACGCTGCTTTGTGTACAGCCGTTACCGGGGAAACCTTGATCTCTACCACTCCAACAGTGCCTCCTGCTGGCAGAGTATGAGTTTGCATATATATATATATATATATATGCAAACTCATACTCTGCCAGCAGGAGGCACTGTTGGAGTGGTAGAGATCAAGGTTTCCCCGGTAACGGCTGTACACAAAGCAGCGTTCCGCTAAAAAAAAAAACACTGCTTTATCAGACATTACATGCAAGATTAAATGAAAATGACATCCAATTTTCTGAAGACAGTCGGTTTCCTTCAGAAATACAGTGATCAACTGTATAACAGTTTCACTGCAATTCATGTTATAATGTTAGAATTAAATAACAATAAAAAATAATACATATGCACTTATCTGTACATCGTAAATGCAGTTATTTTTAAGCGGTTGTTGACATCCTATCTAAAACGTGATTTAGCCAAAAAAAACAACAATAACATTACCACCCTAAGATGTCTTGCAATATCTGTGCGTGCAAAGGTTCTGCGCTGTTCAATATTCTCTGGGTCTGAATCCGGCTCAAATTGATATGGCAATATTGATGCCATCCCTAACTAAACTGGAGCAGATGGAACTTGCTGCTTTGACAAGGAGTGGGGCAGTACTGAAACACCGTCTAAGCTGTTCGCCAATCACAATGCACTGGGACAGCTAACCAATCACATCACATTTAGTTTTTCGGAAGGCGGGCCTTCATCAAACCCGGAACTAATAGAGCCGTTTGTGCCAAGATGGGGAGAAAGGTATTGTAATAATATAAATTATGTAAAAAAATTAAGCGTTTTTTGAACCACCAAGCATGTTTTAGGACACCCCCAAAACAAATTCAAGACATTGTAAAAGAGCATAATAGAACCCCTTTAAATGAAAAATGTACTCTGTGTGATTGGCCTTGCGCCCTTTGTATTAAACTCTGCATACATACATGATGCTGTTTTGTTTATAATTGTTTAAACAACTTAATTATAATTGGTTTATAAACATTGTTTGAAAGATTATGCACTTTTTTCCACAGATAGTCATGTTATCTTATGCTTTGAATTAACGTGCATTAGTAATATTGTGGCCTCAGAAGAGAACAGTAGCCCCTCACTGCAGAACAAAGATCCAGGGGGCGGGGTTGGATCCACATCTAGGGGGTGGAGATGGTAGGTTTAGGGGTGGAGATTGGTGGGTTTAGGTATCAGGGGGTGGAGACGGGTAGGTTTAGGTATATATAAGGTGGGAGGAGTTGGATCTGGATCCAACCTCGCCCCCTGGATCTTGTGTTCTGGAGTGAGGACCATCTCGAAGAGAAGCCAAAAGCTTTTCTTCACCCTAACTGAAATTATGCATTTTAAATTTGAATATAATTCGAATTTTAATTAGAATATAATTCTAATTTTGATAATATTTAAGTTAAAAATTTAGTTTTTCAGCCATTTTGACAATCCTAATGCATCGAGTTTATAACACTGCTCCGCTCCCAGAGAAACAACACACATTTACATTAAAGGTACAATATGTAAGATTTTTTTATTAAAATATCCAAAAACCACTAGTACAGTGTTATATATTTTGCTGACTTGTGTACTTACATTATCCCAAATGTTTCGAAGAATGTTTAAATCCAGAGAAATAAGCAATTTTAACTAGTGACACGGAGCGTGTCTATAGTGTAATTGTGTCACCTGCCAATGATAACCCCTCGATTTCCGGTTTTGTTTTGTAGAAAACATGGAAACACCAAAGACGCTTAAATATGTTGTGGTTTTAATAGACCGGTGACGACCGCACAGAGTAGCATAATAACAGAACTATCAAATGTATCTAGTATGATAAAACAGTGCTGCTTTTTTCCCCCACATACACACGACCGGAAGGAGCGGAAGCGGTCGACTGTGGCATAATAAAAGCTCCGCTGCTTTCGAGCCGTGTGTCGTGCTCGTTCAGCGGCATCGTTTCGCTTCGACGGCTTTCAGCCTCACCCTGCTTCATTCTACTACGTTAATAAATCATTAGCTCATCCATGAACATGATTTCTGTCCGAGTCCCATCGGATTGCATCGGCTGTGGGGATGAAGACAACTCCCATGATTCCACACTCATCAACGGCGTCATCAAACTACGCCTTTAATTCTTTGTTTATTTTGAATACGCGTCCTCTAGCGGGGAAAATTACATATTGTGCCGTTCAAAGATTTATTTGGACATGTTCCTTAAAATGCTGGAAATAATCTGAAATTAAATAAACAAAAAAATTTATTAAATTTAAATTAAATAAACAAAAATAAGCAGAAGAAGTCTGGCTTTAATATTGCCTGGTTTTTAAATGCTTTCATAAATAAATCTAATCTAATAAATAAATCTAATGGGTTGATAAATATTAACCTCAAAGATTTATACTATATTCATGTTTCTTTAATATATACTCTTTAATATTTATGTAAATATGAATAAAGTGATGCTGTACAGCTAATAGTAGGTTCAAGTAGGTTTCAACACAGATCCTTTTGCTCTCTATAGTCTTTCGAAAACTAAATAGTCTTTCGAAAACAGCATTTTATATGAAACAACAAAGAATAATGGAGCAAACTACTCACCCATTGTTTGAAAAAAACCTTTTGGGGGTTGATGCAACGTACAGTGGGTACGGAAAGTATTCAGATCCCTTTAAATTTTTCACTTTGTTATATTCCAGCCATTTGCTAAAATCATTGAAGTTAATTTTTTCCTCATTAATGTACACACAGCACTCCATATTGACAGAAAAACACAGAATTGTTGACATTTTTGTAGATTTATTAAAAAAGAAAAACTGAAATATCACATGGTCCTAAGTATCCTCCATGCCACGTCGCATTGATGCAGTAATTCATGCAAAAGGAGGCCCAACCAAGTATTGAGTGCATAGAAATGAACATACTTTTCAGAAGCCTGAAATTTCTGTTTAAAATATTCCTTTTTCATTGATCTTATGTAATATTCAAATTTTCTGAGACACTGAATTTTGGGTTTTCATTATCTGTAAGCCATAATCATCAAAATTTCAAGAAATAACGGCACTCTATTGAAATATTTCACTCTATGTGTAATGAATCTATATAATATATGGGTTTCACTTTCTGAAATGAGTGACAAAAAATATTGACCTTTTTCATGATATTCTAATTTTTTTAGATGTACCTGTATATGCACACTACCATTCAAACTTTTGAGGAAAATATATATACATTAAAGGTGAAAGTAAAGACTTTAACATGAAATAGATAAAGTTTCCACAAAAACGCAACTGTTTTCAACATTGTTGAGCGTTGATAATAAGAAATGATTTTTGAGCAGCAAATCATATTAGAATAAATTCTGAAGGATCATGAAACACTGAAGACTGAAGTAATGACTGCTGAAAATTCAGCTTTGCTATAACAGGCATAAATTGCATTTTAAAATATATTATAATTAGTGCTGTCAAAATTAGCGCATTAACGCAGGCGATAAATTTTTTCAGTTTAACGCGTTAAAATTATTTAACGCCGTTAACGCATGGGCGGAGCCTAGAGTTGGCCACCCCACTCATAACTGCTACTTCGGTCTCTTTTTTCTTGTCAAGAAGTGCATTTATTCAGACGAAGAACGTCTTTACGACCACATCAAACAGTGGACGTTTCAGACGCGCACCCCAGCTTCACTTCAGCGCCATGCTTGATTCAAACGAGCGCGGAAATGGTACTGGGCTCGCAGCGCATGCTCTTCAATTGCACGCACAAAGGCGCCGGTGCGTGCTGCAGCCTGTATCATTTCATATCAACACACAAAATAAACTATGTGCATGCAATGTCGTGGTCAGTTAAGTCATGAAGTTACCAAAAAGGCGATTAAAGCTGCCTTAAAACTGTGTATGCATGTAATATATGAGTCACATTTAGGATCATGTCTCTGAAACAATTTTCCAAACTGTCCTGGAGCATCCCAGCACTTTCTTCCTCATCTAACACACCCGATTCAAGTCGTCAGTTCATTAGTATAGACTTTAAGACCTGAAGTGGGCCAGAAAAGGTAAATAGATTTGAGAGAAAATACGATGCATGTCAGATCCGTGTCATGTTCCGCAGCGGCAGCAGCTCTTAAAGAAATAGCAGCCAAACATCTAATAACCAGCTGTTGTGATGTCTGTCAATCAAAGAAAAAAAAGAGGGAATCAATCACTTTTATAGCTTTAAGGATTAATCTGTATTTAGTTTATAATTTAGTGTTTGATAACTTTATTCAATTTCTTTATATGCACAGTGTGGCGAGGGGGGCGTGGTTCAGTGAGGTCTGCATCGGGAGAGAGAGGCAGAAGATGAGCGGTGCGTAAGTAGGTCAAGCGCAAATGATAAACACCTGTGTCTCGTTTCAGTAATTGGTGTGGAGAGACCGGATAAAAGGGGCCACCTGGAACATGATCGGGAGAGAGACTGACTGGGAACGCGAGCCACCCGGGGAGACGGGTGTAGAGAAACACGGAAGCAAGTTGTGTTATGATTGTTATGAGTTATTGACTGCAAGTCTGGAAGCGCTGAGTGAGCGCCGTATTGTGTTGTGTGCACCGAGAGATTTAAATAAAGCTCGCGTCCCAGCAAGCCGACCCTGCCTTCTTCCTTCCACTCTCTTGAACCTTACCACACTGGTGCCAAAACCCGGGAAGGAAGAAGAATGCCGTCGCTGTCATGCAGTCCCCCCCAGGATCACCATTTGCGGAGGTCATCCAATCACTCACGGGTCTTCACCAGGAGCACCATCAGGCACTGCTGGGCCTGGGGGACGATCAGGAGCGGCAGTTCCATGCCCTCATCCAAGCCCAGCAGGAAGACCGCGAGCTGTTCCGGAGCTGGATTGACCGGGAGGTTCGGGCTGGGGGACCTACATCTACCCCAGCACCACCCCCCCATGTGCCTCTCCACAAGATGGGGCCCCAGGACGACCTGGAGGTGTTCCTGGACCTGTTCGAGAGGTCGGCAGAGGCCGGGGGGTGGCCCGAGGAGGACTGGCCAGTGCGGCTCATTCCCCTGCTGTCTGGGGAAGCGCAGGTGGCCGCACAACAGCTGCCAGTCCAGAACCTCCTGGTCTACAAAGACCTCAAGCGCGCCATCCTCCAGCGGGTCGGCCGGAGCCCCGAGCAGCATCGCCAGCGCTTCAGGTCGCTGGACCACGGAGAGGGAGGCTGACCCTTCGTGATGGCGCAACAGCTCCGGGACACCTGCCGCAGATGGCTGATGGCCAACACGAGCGACGTTGAGGAAATCATAGATCGAGTGGTACTGGAGCAGTTCGTGGCACGGCTGCCGAGGAAGACTGCCCAGTGGGTCCAGTGCCACCGCCCGACATCGCTGAACCAGGCCATCCAACTGGCGGAGGACCAGATGGTGGCGTGCCCCGGGGTCGGCGAACCCCTGCCATCTGTCTCTCTCTCTCTCTCCCTTTCCCAAGGTCCCGAGGGAGTCTTCCCCCACGAGCCCCACCCTGCTGGAGGGGTGGTTCAGGGACGGAACCCACAGCCACCCCGAGGGCGCCGCTACATAGAGTAGAGTAGAGGTGGCAGTTAGCCCACACCTCAGGTATCCGCTAATTTTGGGGACAAATTGGCCAGGGTTTAAGGCATTATTGGGGCATCTATGTGCAGGTGTCTCTTGGGAGGAAAGAGCGTGGCAGACGGGGGCGGTCGCGCAGGTCGGAGAAGGTGAGCCGGGACCAAGGGGGACTGAGACAGGGGAACGGAGCGCTGTTGAGAGGGGAACCCTCACAAAGTGCGATGATTTTCCCTTGGAACAGTCCCAGGATGATTCGCTCAAAAATGCTTTTGAACAGGTCCGTTCCATCGACAGACAGCTTCTCCAACCGGCTCGACCGCTCTCCTATCCGTATTTTGCTATTTTAAAAGACCGGTTGTATCGAGTGACCCAAGACACTCAGTCAAAACAAGATACAACCCAATTGTTAGTACCAAAAAGCCGTTGGGAAATGCTTTTCCAGGCGGCTCACTGTAATCCGATGGCCGGACATTTGGGGCAAGCAGCGACACTGAATCGGCTAATGACCTGATTTTTCTGGCCGGGCATTCACGAGAACGTGCGCAGGTGGTGCGCGTCTTGTAGTGAATGTCAGCTGGTGAACCCACCGGCCACCCCAAAAGCACCATTGTGCCCTCTCCCTCTTGTGCAGGTCCCCTTCGAATGAATTGGCATGGACCTCATCGATCTGCACGGGCGGGATCGCTTTGCATTAGTCCTAGTGGATTATGCAACGCGATATCCAGAGGCAGTGGCCCTCCGCAGCATTTCCACGAAAAGTGTCGCGGAGGCCCTGTTTCATCTAATCTCCCGGGTGGGAATCCCGAAAGAGATTCTCACCGATCAAGGCACGGCGTTTCTGTCACGGACTCTCCACGAACTTTACGAACTCTTGGGCATTAAATCGATTCGCACCAGCATTTATCACCCACAAACAGACGGTCTGGTCGAACTATTTAATCGCACATTAAAAACCATGATTCGGAAGTTCGTTCACGAAGACGCCAAAAGTTGGGACAAATGGCTGGAACCCCTCTTGTTTGCCGTGTGCGAGGTCCCCCAAGCCTCCATGGGGTTTTCCCCCTTCGAGCTTCTCTACGGACGTCAGCCCCGCGGGGTGTTGGACGTCCTGCGAGAAACTTTGGAGGACGGACCTTCGGACAGTAAAAATTAAATTCAGTATGTACTGGTCCTGAGAACAAAACTCCACACTTTGGGGCGGCTCTCTATGGAGAATTTTTTGCAGGCTCAGGGCAGACAAAGCCGGTTATACAACAGGGGAGCCAGATTGCGCGAATTTACACCGGGAGAAAAAGTACTTGTATTACTCCCCACTTCTAGTT